AACTACCATAGTATATATATTCTAAATAAACTACATTTTATACTTAAAATATGTGATATGTATATGTATGTATAAGTACCTTTATAATATTGGATTATGATACATCATTAATTAGCTTTTAATTTAGAAGTATCAAACTGTACGTATATTACTTCTTAATGCACAAAAATGAAAACTAAAATCAATTAGGAACTACGAGATAAATAACGTATCAACATTATATGTACATACAGTTACTCTGAAAAATATTCGGACATTATATAAGTTTGTCTTTCTAGTGATATATTTTGGTTAATTATAAAAGGATTGGGTTAATGCTTTTTCGTCATTTACTGTACTTTGCGATTAGTTCAGTGTATTTTCGTATATGACATTGTAATATAAATTAATTGAAATTATGTCGAATATTACATAAGTACTCGGACATTTAGCAAAAATGAATATTTTGAATATTCATAGTATAATGTTTATATTATTCATATTCATAATATTTTAAATATGATGAATATTTTTGCCTGTGTTGTGTTTAATTATTGTTTTATTAGTATCCGAATGTTTCAGGAAGTAACTGTGGAGGTATACCTAAGATTGTCTACCTGCACGGTGTGCAAATCAAATCCCTCTCAGAAGCTAACCTTAAATTTTATGAAAATATAGCGCGAAATAAATATACATAATATATATATATATGCATAATTGTAAGTAGACTTTTAAATACAGTCTATAAAAAATTGGAAATAAATGCAGTATTAAACATGCTAAGAAATAAATATAACGGTTCATGTATTTGTGTAATGCCATTGATAAAAAAGTATCATACGTACATTATACGTATTAAATACATATGTAATGTCATACGTACATTATACGTATTGAATATGTAATATCATACGTATTAAACAATAAGAATAAGTTGTAACCTTAATTTTCAATTAAATTGCATTAAAAAACATTGTACGATTTTTAGTGCTGTATAATAATAAACAGTTAACTAACTTAATCTATTTTTTTTTTAATATTTAGAATATTTTCATGCCAAAAGTTTAAAGATGGATGTTGATGATGTTAATTTAGTTGCACAACAGATTAGAGAAGCAAATAATAAACTTTCCAACGACACTGCACTGGTAATATCTTTAATAATAAATGTATAATATTGATATTTACTGCAAATATATTGTTATATCAGGTTAATGTAATTACATAAATTTTTATTTACTATAGCATTTAAAATTTTTAAAAGTAGAATTAAGAAGACCTGTATTACCACAACATGAAATTGAATCTCGTGCTGGTTCTCATACTCCAAAACCAGAAGAAATAAAGAGATTTGAAGAAATAGTATCCATTAAGAAAGGATCTTTTACACCATCAGAAGACAACATAATTATTAATAACTGGAAAGCATTTTGCAAGGTTTGTTTGTTAAAACTATTTTCTATATAGTCTATATTTTAATACATGTCAAATAAAATTTTATAATTATGTTAAAAATATTTTATTATTTTTGTATAT